ATGTAGAACCACTGCCCTCTGGTGGAAAAAAAGAGACAGTGAAACCCAGAAGTGTATCAAGCACAGAGAAGCTGGTGCACCCATGGGCTGAGACAGGCAGGGCTGGGGAGGACTTACCTGTTTCTGTGAAGGTAAACAAGGAAAAGGAAAAATGAGATGAGAGCAGATAAATGCCAGGGATTTGAGGAGACGACATAGCACACCCAGCTGGTCAGTACTGCTTTCTACTTAGTTTCCTTTGGCTTTCTACTGATTTTTGCCCAGTGTTAATGTTCTTATGTCCCTTCCCAGAATATGCAACACCAGAGGTTAAAAAGAGACACCAGGCCTGCGTGCTATCTACCTATCTGTTGCTGCTGCATGTGAAGCCCAATTGCCTCTGTATGGTGTGAGGGGTGGAAAGCAGCAGGTGTGAGGGACGGAAAGCAAGGCTCAGTACAAGAGCTGGCAACAGTGCATTTGCCTGTTACTGGAAATTTTAATGAAGCAAAAATAAAGGTATTTTCAAATGCCTCAACTACATGCCTTTCTTTCCTACACCTGCAGTCTGTGAAGTTAGCCATGTTTCTGAGAAATGAGCACAGGTGGTCCTCATGTCCCAAACTCATGCACCCTCACCCCTGATCTGTACTTCAGACTGGCTATAACTGAATATAAACAGAGAGGGAGCAATAGTTATTTGTTAGTGTATTACAAAATATGGCACCATAATCACAATTTGCACAGAGACCACCATAGCTTTATACAGAAAGTATTTCTACAACGATCTGCCCAACAATCATTTGGGCAGCCTCCAATGAATTCCACTCATGTTTTTAGCCATGGTGATCAAGGTTCAGCCTTTAGTTAGCTCTTGTAATTCTCATGTGTTTTGCCTTTAAATTTCTGTCCTTGCCTTAATATCATTGCCTACAGTTACAACACAAGGCATTTTACCACTGCAGTGGTCAGATACTGTTATTGTTGGGGTTCCTGTTGGGGTACCTGTTGGGGTTCAAGTCCTGAGCAAGACACACAGAAGTAACAGGCAAAGGACAGAATTATTGAAGGTGAAGGTGAAGGAGGTGGAGTGGAGTGGGTTGAGAGAGATTCTCAAAGTCCACAAATCTAGAAAGTCTAGAAAGCAACTTCTAATATACTTAGCCGTAAAGCATCCACTTCCCTATACAGACCTCATTTAAAACCTTAATCCATTTGCTCCCATTGGTTATCTTGATTAAAATAGCATCCGAATTTTTCCCCATTGGTTACTTCAGAAAACTTAATTAGAATACTCTCCAGTTCAAACCCCTTGGTTGTTTTAGAATGCCAAACCTGAGACAGGAGTTGCCATGGTGATAAGTCTTTGTGGTGGGAGTTGTCATGGCAATGAGACATAGGAATGAGATGACCCATCTCCCTGTCTAGTTCACAAGTGGCATTTTTTTCTTACCTGCCTCTGGCATCTTGTAGTACCTGAAATTCTACATAAAAGTACCAGCATTGGAAAAGAATGTCATTCCCAAAGAATTACAATTACTCTTTGGTAATTTTCTTTGTTTCTTTTTTTACGCTAACATTTTCTATGTTGTGTTCCATCTAGTACTATCCCTTCTCCGTTCTGTGCACAGCTTCTTCCCAGCCCCCCTTTTTAACTTTGGTGTATTCTGAGAAAAGATGTCAAGTACATGTGCTAAATGGGTTGTGAAGTTGGGGTTCAGGTCTTTGGTTACTGAAGGTGACAATGAAAGTAGCACTCTGTGAGGGTAAAGTGGAGTGGGCCAAGCAAGAGAGAAGCTCAAGGCTCACATTTCTGTAAAATTAGTCTTACATGCTGAGTATGAAGAAATCACTCCCCTACACAGACCTGATTGAAGAACTTACCCCATTTGTTCCCATTGGTTATGAAGAGCATCCACTATTCCCTCATTGGTTACTTTAGAAAGCCAAAATTGAATTATGTCTGCTTTATCCTCATTGGTTATATTAGAATGACAAAACTGAGGCGGGAGTTGCCATGGCGATAACTCCTTTGGCGGGAGTTGTCATGGTAAATAGGGACGTGATGATTAATCTCCTTGTCTTGTCATCCTGTGTCAATGTAGTGGTAACCTGCCTCAGCCATAGTGGAGTATTTGAACTCTGACATCTGCAGGGTAGGAAGCGAAACAAAACGATTCCCATTATTATATTACCCATTTAAAAATGAAATATTCCTCATACCGTGAGCTCCTGCCAAAAAGCCTAGGAAGCGAATCTGGTACACTCCTTCGGGTTTCCTCTATTTTTCCAAGATCTTGGGATCAAAAGAGACAGGAAAAAGGATAGTGGAGGCTTCTGGGCCACCGTCCAACGTTTGAGCACCCTGAGATCAATTAGGTTTTATCCGGACTGTGCTGGTATTTCACAAAAGCCTTCTCCCTGCCTCGATTGCCCTTGACCAAACAGATGCCACCACGCCCTGCCCCGGAGGTCCCAGGATTACCCCACCCACCTCCCAGCAGGCCTGATGGGTGTGCACACGCATGCCCTGGGGCAGCAGCACAGTTCGGTGTCGTCACCCGGCGTCAGTGCCAGTGCTGATCAGCATGGCGTCTGGAGGGTAGTGATGGCGCCTTCTGAGCAGCTGCAAGCATTCGGCGTTCACCATGGACACAGCATTTGTGTTGGGCTCCAAGTGAGAGTCCTGCTGTAGGGCAGCTGAACTTGTGCCCAAGAGCTCTTTCTGGACAGGATCGAGAAGGTAAGGTAAAATCCAAGCCAACTTTGTTCTCTGTGACATTTTGCCATTCATTATTCCATACTGGGGTTGAGCTTTGTCACGGTGCCCACACCTTCTGGACAAGCACAACTGTGGGTAAAGGCATGCTAACTCTCTATGTTCCCTGATCCCCATTGAGCCTGAGGAGCGAGAGCTACACCTTCTGAGAGACAGGTCTGCTGGAAAACGTTGTTTAAACGTTTAAACAAGTATTCCAACATTGCTTACACAGTAATATTCTTATAAGGTGAATTTTGGAAACTTAGGGGTGGTGATTACTAAGCCATCATGAATTTGGCCAAGATCCTTCTGTGCTTCTGCTCTGAAACTCCCCCCACACCAGATTCCTTTGTCCCCAGGAGCACCCACCTTACCTCTGGGGATCTTCAGAAATCTGGTTAGAAACTTCCATCAGACTGTGAAAGTCGCTGTGGCAGGGATAGTTGATAACTGTTTATTCTGTGAAGGAGGCATCTTTGTTCTGAGAGGCTGAGTGATAGGCTCATTTGCCTGAGGTATTTTTTTTTTTTAAGACTATTTTAAAGACTGGGTTTTGATGGAGACAGGGATTTCTTTAAGTTGAGTGACTTTTCAGCTCTTATTGGATGACACTAGCAGCCTACTGCTGATTTGTTTCTTAATTTTTGTCTCATGAATTTGAAGAAAAAAACCCACAGACAACAGAGGAAGGCAAGAGTGAAAGCACTAAGATTCATGTAAATGAATAAAAATGACAGAACACTTAGAATGCTAAATAAAGGTAACCTGATAGCCAGTTTGTAGGTACATACACAAGTCTAGTATTGAGGCTGTTAAAATTCGTGGTCAATAAATTTTGGAAATGTACAAAGGCTATAAGCTTGGCTTATAAACTTTTAATTGGCTTTGTCTTTTTAACAATTGAGTTTGAATTTTACTGTATTATCCAATGAGTCAAGTCATTCTTCCGATTATCCACCACTATGTGAAAGAAACTTGTTTGGAACAATTGTATAAGCTAAACTCCTAGAGATTCTTTTGGATTTATTAGAAAAATCACTTTTAATTGGGTCCATTATCCTTAATGACTGACTTTATTATACTCTATCTTATTAACTGTGACCAAATAGGAAAAACAAATTCTTTTTTTTCTCTTTTTATCCATTTTGTAGATACATTGTATATCCATTTCTGAGAAGTGTCTGTTCACCTTCTCAGAGGCTGTTCATCTTCCGATTTTTCTTCTCTTTTCTTTCTTTTTGGGTACAGAAACAGGCGGAAACACCAAGTCCAAAAAGTTCCCAAGCAACCGATTTCAACGGGTTTTTACACGTTTCTGTCAATTCCTCCATTCTGTGGATGGATCCGACCGTGGCCTAGCAATCTGCCCGTCTGATAGTGGCTTCACCGTGGTGGTTTCGGTTTTGAAGTCCCACACCGCCCGTGTCCCCGGCCGGATTCTCTAGGGGTGCTGGGCCGATCTGCCTGCGTCTCGCGCCCGCCGCTGTGGGGGGCCCTGGCGGGGCGACCCGGCCGGTGGGATGTGTCCGGGTGACTTTCTACGACCCCTGCGGAGCGGATCCCGCTGACGCCGCCCGCCCGAGGTTCCGCGTCCCTTCCGCCTGATTTGGTTGACGGTTGTCAAGCTCCACCTGGTGGCCGCTTTTATAGGAGCGTCTGATCATCGGAAGTCGCCAAGGCGTGATGTTCGGTGGCGGTGGCCGAGACACAGTCCCGGGAGTTGGGCGGCGCCAGCGGAACTGTCTCGGTCGCGCTGGGCTGGGCCGTTGTGGCCCGTTGGCGGTATGTTGGACCGGCAGGCTTAGTGTGTGTGTGTCGGTTGTCTTCTCTCCCTGCTCGGTCCGGGCCGCGGGCGCCTCGGGTGGCAGTCTGAGCGGTTCCTTCGCCGCCACGGGCTTCGCTTGGCCCCGTCTGGGTCGGTCGCCGGGACTCCTGTGTTATTTTTCTCCCGCTCGCTGCCTCTCCGTCTCTCTCACGGGTTTTGGCCGCGGGGCCGCGGGGCTGCGCCGGGCGGGCCAGAGGGGTGTGCTTGCCCGGCCTTGCCGCATTCCCTCTTTGGGGTCCTGATGGCTATGCCCGGCGTCCTTCGGTGGTGGGTCGCCTTAGCGTGTTCCCCGGCCGCCCCCCGGTCCTGCTCGTTGGGGATGGTGGTCCCCGTCTCTTGTTTTCGCCTTCGTCCACGAGGGTCGACCAGTTGTCCCTAGGGGCTCTGGATCTCGGTGATGGGCTCGATGTCGCGGTGCGCTGAACGCGACTCTGTTCAGGGCAGGCGGCAGTGCTGAGTGAACTGTTCCCCGTTGCCCCGGTCGCGATTGTTTTTGGCCCGAGTTGGCCGTTTTCTGCCATCGGGTAGGTGCTGACACGTTGTCCTCTGGCGCGTGCCGCCAGAGGGAGGGAGGGAGCTTGGGCCTCCGGGTGCGTGCCGGGCTCTGGGCTGATGGGGGGGCCCGGACCCGTTCCCTCTGGAGCTGCTTGCCTGGGCCTGCGTGCGACGGCTCTTTGGCGCACCTGGGGCGCCCTCGCGGTGGTGCCACCTCCGGCCGGCCGGTCTTCTGGCGCCGGAGGGTGGCGGGGGAGGTGGCGGGTGGTCCTTTACCGCCCGTGCGCTCCTCGCTGCGGGCACCGGGGGCGGTGTGACGACGCTCGTTTCCATGGCTCTGAGCCGCGTGTCAGGCGTTCCCCGTTCCGTGTCGTCGGCCGCCCTCCCTGGGGTGTGGGGCCGGCGAGGCCGTAGCAGGCTCCTCTTAGACGCGGTCCTCGCCGGGTCTCCCCCTGCTCCCTGGGTCTCTCCCGCCCACTGTGCTGATCGATGTGGTGACTCTGTGCTCTCCTGGGCTGGGCCAAAGCCGCGCCAGGCGAGGGACGGACATTCATGGCGAATGGGCCAGCTCTTCTCGTCCTGCCTGCGGGTCCCTCGCCTTGCCTCCCCGCCCGTTCGCGGTGCGGGGAAGGGCGGGGGTGCGGAATCCGGCCTCGACCTCGCTCCCGGGGTCCTTTGACGTAGCGGGTGCTTCTCGCTCGCCGCCCGCTCTGGGCGGCCAAGGGCCGCGTGTGTGGCCCTCCCCGCGCCGGGGAGGGCTGCCGCCGTGCTGCTTCGGCGCGACGGTGCGCCTCTGCTTCGGTGCTCCTGGGGCGCTCCGGGTCGTTTCCTGAGGTGCCTGAGGCTGAGCCGGTGTGTGCTGTTCCCGGTCCCAGTGCCGCTGCCGCGGCCGGCCGCCGCCTCGCTGTCGGTCTCGCCCCGTCTGCGGGGGTTTCTGAGGCGAGCGCCCGAAGGCAAGAGCGGTGTTGCTTCGCTCGGGGGATCGAGGCGGTAAGCTCGGCAGCGTTGCCCGTTCCCTCTCCGGGGGGAGCGGGTTGCGTTGTCGTCCCCAGTGCCGAGTGGCGTGGGGCGTGTGTTAGGCGAGCGGGCGCCTGGGCGCTCCTCCCCGCCTCCGGTGGGGGGAAAGGAGATGTTGCCCGGGCGTTTGAGCGATTGTTGGCGGGACGCCGAGCTGGGGCCGGTGCGGCCCCCGAGGCGATGGGGCTTTGGGTGTCCCTGGCCGCGAACGCTCAAAAGAAGCCTTGTGCTTGCCCATACCGCAGATCCCCCTCGTTGCCTCGGCGGCCGGTTGGGAGAGGGGCTGGGTTGGGTGCGGCCCGCCCTCAGTGAGGAACGTTTCTCTAGCGATCTGTGAAGGGCGTGCCTCGTGCGGGGTACCGGATTCCCCCATTGGCCGCCCCCTGCCTCGTGCGCTACGCTGCCGTCGGTGGTGTGTGTAGGCGAGAGTCCCCCCCCTTCCCGCCGTCTGGGAGGGCAGGGGTCCGCCGGCCCCCCGCGGGTGGGGGCCGAGCGCCTGCTCTTTGTGCCTACTGCGGCCCGCGCCTCCCCCCTTCGAGTCGGGGGAGGGTTCCCGCTGGGCCTGGCCGGGGCCCTCTGGCGCACGTGGGGCCACTGTGTGGGCCGCTGGTGCCGCGCGTGTGCGCGCGGTGGCGGTGGGGCTCTGTTCGCGCAGCCGGGGGTTGAGGGGCCCCGTCCCCCCTTCCCCCTCGCCCGCTGCGAGTGGCCCTCTGCCCGCTCCCGGTCCCGAGCCGGCGGGCGGCCTGCGTGCTTGTGCGCTGGCCCGGGGCGCGGCCGCCGCGGCCCCCCCTGGGAGCGTTCCGCGGGCGGCGTGGTGAGCGAGCGGACCCTGGAGCTGGAGAGGCCCAGGTCGTGGGACTCGACCGGCACGAGGTGTGGCGTTGCATGCTGGCGTTTGGAGTCCAGGCGCGTCTCGTCGCGTGGAGGACCACCCTGTGGTGGCGGGGCGGCGGGTCTCGTTGGGAGGCTCCGGGGCTGGGACCGGAGGCCGGGTTGGCGTCGCAGGCGGTGCGGGACCGCCCTCGCGTGTGGCGGTGGGACCCCGCTTGTTTTCCTGGCGGCCCGACTCTGTGCCCGAGGTCTCCTCCCCGGTTTTCTCTCCGCGTTTCTTCGCCCCTCGCGGCCTCCGGCGCGCCCTCCATCCCGGCGGGGTTGTGCCCCCCTCCTCGCCTCCGCCGGGCCTCCCCCCCTGGCTGACTGGTCGCGGCCGCGCTGCCGCCCCCTCCCGGGCGTGTACCGGGTGTGGTGGTGGGCACGCTGGACGGGCGGTTGTCGCTGGGGATGCTCGTCGCGGTGTGCGGGTTGAGGGTTTGGGGGCTCCCCGCCTCTTGCGGCGGCGGTGGGGCGGCGGGGACCTGTCCCCCGCGAGGGCCCTCCCGGGAGGTTGGCTGATGCAGGGAACCCGGCCGGCGGCTCGTCCGGG